TTTAGTAAGTTAAAAAAGAAATGTTTATTACTATAAATTAAATTTTTTGTAGTATATAAAAGATTAGTATGTAAACAAAGTAATAATATAAACTATCATAATGAAGTGAATGTTCGATATTATTGCAAAAAATATTGCTTATAAATAAACATTTTAAAATAAATGTTTTTGATAATTCAAAAACAACACACCATCATATCATTATTTTAGTTGAATTTTTAAATTGTTTTCAATTTAAACGTATATTTTTGAAAAATTCGATATAAAACTACACCACTGTGAATAGATTTCAAAACTACACATATACATTATTCATTTTCATTTGAAAAAACAATTTTTATTATTAATAAGATTTATCACAATTACACACTTCTGATTTAATATAAAGTGTGTTGTTATTTAATTATAAATATAATTTTCATTTGCTAACAAAAACACTATTACAAAAACAACAACGATTGATAATGTTAAAATACACATTGAAAACCAATTTAAACAAAAAACTATTATATTAAACAAATTAAATAAAAATGGGACTAAAAGGCAAAGCTAAAGAATTGTTTGAAAATATGGATACCGATAACAATGGATACATAGATATCAAAGAGTTCTGTAAAGGGATGAAGAAACTTTTTAACATCACAACAGATGATTATCACATAAACACTGTATGTAAATATATCTTACGCAAGATTGATGGCGAAGGTTTATTCAATGCAAGAGACTATCAATTGAACTAATCCGAGTTCCAAAAATTATACAACTATTTACCAGGGTATAAAACTGGTGAGCGTACCGATATAATGGGCGTACTCGTTTATTGGGCGTACTCGTTATTTAAATAGTAATAATGATTATTTTACACAAATTATTTAACATTAATATATTACATTATTTAACTTTTATTATAATTTATCGAATATACAATCTAATATTAAGAATATCCTTTGATTCAAACAAATACGTTTCATTTATTTGACACACTTGTTGTATTATTAATTATTAATTGTCATATTTTACAAATAAATTTAAATTTTGTTTAAGTATAAAAAGACAAATTTATTTTTTTTAATATTTGAATGAAAATATGAGTTTTAAATAATAATAATTAACACATTAAAAATCAATTTAAAGACATCAAAAAAATATTGACAAATTTATAATAATGAATTTATAACATTTAAAAAAAATATTAAAGAATTTGGAGTTCAAAAAGACGATGGACTATAAGAGTATTATATGAACAACCACAACCTAATAGTAAATACCTTATTTTTATATTTTTGATATAAATTGTATCAATAGTATGGGTTAAAAATATGTAATAAATTTATATCAACAAAAAACAATATGCGCTAGAGTTTTATAATTAGTTAAATTATTTATTATTATTTATCTAATTATGTAATTAAAATTAGTTTAATTTATAATCACAAATAAATTTTTATGTTGTATGTATTGTTTTATTATATTATAACTATCAATCATTTTGACACTTTAATGTTTATTATGATAAAAATTAAGCAAAAAATAAATCCAAACGTGTTAATTTTTATATATTTTTAATCTTTACATATTTATTAATTATCGAAAATATTTATTTAATATTTATAATTATTTAAACTAAATTAGATAACTCCCTTAAAAATAATCAACGGGCGTACTCGATATTTGATGAAAAACCACTCGAAATCAACTTTTTTAAAATTTGTTAACGTTCATATTTACATGTTTTTAGAACATTTAAGAAACAATATTCGATCAACAACCCATTTAAATAGAAATCTAGATAATCAACAAAAATAAGAAATGAATATGGTACCTATGTTTTTTACAAATTATCGTACTGTACGTCCTGGTACAACCAATTACGACTTTATGTGCCTTGAATGTTTTTGTTACAAACACTTTTCCAAGGATGAAAAAAGCAAAAGGAAAAACCCATCAATAACCAATGTTTACATTTGTTCGGCAAATACAAGAGGTTGTTCCGCAAAAGTGGTTTTCTTTGAAAATGGAGAATTCAAAAAGACTGGAAAACACACATGTTCTTTTGATCACAACAAGTTGTTTGCAGATATAAACAATCATGCTATATGTGTCAGAACAGTCGAGAAACATTTAATATTAAAAGCAAAAACAATTCTTATACTCGTTTTAAATGACAAAAATTTCATTCGTGACGAAAAAGGAAGAATACAAAAATACTTGAGTTTCATTAAGAGAATGCAAAAATGTGTATTGGACGTGTTGCCTTTATCTTTTGATTCGTTTGTTTTACCGAATCATCTTTCGGTGACAAAGAGAGGTATTTCAATAGAAGAAACAAATAACTCGTTTCTCTTTTTTGATTCAAAAATAACACAACCAGACGAAGAGCGCGTTCTGATTTTTTCTTCATTTTTTCAACAACGTATCGCCAAATTGAGTTACACGTTTTTTGGTGATGGCACTTACAAAATAGCATCTTCAATAATAAAATGTTTATACACAATTCATGCATTAATAAATGGAAATTGTTTTGCAATAGCATTTTTATTGATGCCCAACGAAAAAAAAGCAACTTTTGAAAGAGCATTTGAAGCGATCAAAACTTTTATTATTAATGGACCTAATGGTGAGTCCAAAGATGGGTTGACATTTATATCTGATTGTCAACCAGCTGCATTTGTCCCTGCCAAAAATGTTTTTGGATGTGATATCCACATTTGTTTTTTCCATATAAATCAAGCTGTATGGAAAAGAATGTCACAAGAGGGGTTGTCTTCACAGTACAATAATGACCCTCTTTTACATCTCTGGGCAAGAAGATTAATGGCACTTCCGTTTGTACCAAGTGATAAATTGAAATCTTGTTTTGAATGGTGTTTTGAAAATCTCGCTTTTGATGAAAAGTATGGCCTTAAAGGAGATATCGCCGACAAATTTAGAAGAGTGATTGATTATTATAAAAGTCAGTGGATTTCTTCTCCCGAACAAATTGCTCGCATTTCTCAGTTTGATTTGAATGACAGAACCAATAATAATTGTGAAAGTTACCACAGTGGATTAAGTAATATATATGACCGTGTTCATCTTAATATTTATATTTTGACACACATTCTTCGTGAAGTTGAAAACGTTGTATTTGAAAACTACACTTTATTTCTTAATGGTGTCAATTCAAAGAACGTGCCAAAATCAATAACAGAGTTTAAAAGAAAAATAACTGAAATTAATGATAAGATGAAAGCTGGATTGTTTTTAACGGATTTATCTTATCTTGACGCAATTTCAATAAGCTACATGTCTTATTATTTTTCTTGCAAAGAATCAAGAAAAAGTTCGAGTGCTAACTCAATTGAAATGAGCAAAGTGTTTTTATCTCAAATAATTTCAATATCAGAAGAACAACAGTTGGATTTAGAGGAAACAATAGAAACAGAATTTACGTCAAGTATAACGGATAGAACAAGAGAAGAATTGTCAAGAATATCATGTGAAATTTCACAATCACGTTGTCCAGACTTAGAGGTCGACATTCAGCAAGAAATCCCATTATCATCAATTGTGTCCGATCCAAATAACAGTAATTCTCATGAAAAAATAGATAAACCAATACGTCGTCTAAAACGAAAAAAGAAAACAGTTATACAACAAATTGCAAAAGAAAAACATAAAAGAAAAACAAAAGATATTTAATCGATTATTTATATGTGATATTTTAATAATACTGTAATTTCATTATTAATTGATATATGAATGAACAAAAATATACTTTTATTTTAATGTATTTCTTCAAATGTATTAAAATGTGTGCAATATAGAAAAACAATTTATAGATGGTCAACAACAATTTTTAAATGTAGTAAAAACAATCAAAAGACAATATAAAGGCACGTTTTTAAAATGTATTTATTTTTGTATGCATATAATAAATGTATATAATATTATTATATTAATTTAACAAGCAAACAAATAAAAAAACCATATATTTGTTTTAAACAACTTAAATAAGAAATAATACAACAAGTGTGTCAAATAAATGAAACGTATTTGTTTGAATCAAAGGATATTCTTAATATTAGATTGTATATTCGATAAATTATAATAAAAGTTAAATAATGTAATATATTAATGTTAAATAATTTGTGTAAAATAATCATTATTACTATTTATATAACAGGTACGCCCAATAAACGAGTACGCCCATTATATCGGTACGCCCATTTAACTCAGATCTTTACCAGAAGAGCCACAATTTCCTTATGACAGTTTAAAGGAATTGGTATCGATTTTATTTCATATTTGTGACAAGAATAATGATGGATTTTTGACATATGCCGACTTTTCCGATTTCATGCAAAAAAGCGCTGATATTGACACTACAATGAAAAATAGAATGATGGCATTTACTTTTATTGACCAGGACGCAAATGGAAAAATAGACTTTAACGAGTTTTATCAGGCTATTAAACAAGGGAAAGTGAAAAGTTTCACTTCATCTGGTTTATTAATTTCTGATTCATCAGACGACTCTACAGATGATTCAGAATAAAATACAGATATGATGGTTTATTAAAAGTTTTTTGTGCGTTTTATCTATTTTTTTACTTTAATACTACTGGTTTAATTATTATTCAAACATATACATAATTAAAATTATTGCTTACCAAAGCATCTGGTATATTTCAGTATTTATAAATTATTTTATAATATTGTTTTGTTATATGTAACTTCGTTATTACAAACTGAAGAAAGAAAATTATCAAAAATAAACAAATTGTATATACAAATATCTTATAACCAAAACTTTCTTGTACCAAAAATTTTAAAAAATATTAACTTATTAAACTTTTAGTTGTTTTGAGTATATATTATAAAAAAATACACAAAAAACACTTAAATGATTTTCAAGTATGTATAATACCAAAAAACAAAATTAACAATTAAATTATATGTTTATGAGATAATAAAAACAATAATTACCTTTGATGATTTAATTTATTCGAACATTATAACAAAGAATCACATTTTAAATATGATGTGATATTACAAAATGTCTAAATATCAATAATTATCATTTGATTATTTTTTAGCTTACAAAATTGTTAACATGTAAAATTAAATTATTATGATAATCAATGCCCAATGAACACATCCATTTTTATTTTTTTAAATGCATATCCCGACTTCATATTATTTATATTATAATGACCAGGTTCAATTTTTAATAAAATAAATATTTAAGGGGTTTATAGTTTTATATATTAATGGTTTTTTTATTTTTATTATTTCGGCAACCACTTAAGAGTATTAACGTGATAGGGCGTATCCACACGGAAATGGTGAATCCCTGTGGATTGGAATATTTTGTGTGGATAGCCTCTTATTTTTTTGTCGAAAAAACCCAAATATCCGTTTTAAACCATATGTTATGATTTTTAAAATTAATAATTGTTATTTATAATCATTTATGGGACAAAAATGATACACAAACATAAATACCCCCATAAGGAGTATTTCCAATATTTGCAATAATTTCATAGAAAGAAAAAAACGCTATTTTCAGCCTTTTTTGAAGTGGTAAAATAAGAATAGATCAAAATGAACAAATTAAATAACTAACAAAGTTTAATCGTATTATCCCGTTTATTTGATACATGTAACACTGTTTTTTTTCGTTTTTTAAATTGAAAAAACATTTCAAAAGTGATTTATGTGATTATAATTTGGGAAAATTCCCGTTTTTTGTATTAAAAATATTTATTTTTAATATCAAATTTAAATAATATTATTTTTTGTTAATCGTGGTTCAAAAATGCATTAATTATCACATTTTACTAATAGTATTGTAATTTATATAAACACTCCATTAGTTTATTATTTTAATAATAATATTTGGGAATTGAAATTTGTAAAATAAAGTTCTTTTAGTTGGCGCAAATTATACGTATAAAGACGGGTTTTACATCCTAAATATTATTCAGGTTTTGTTGAAAATGTTAAAGACAAAGGTTTTATGTCTAAAATAAACTATTAATCAATAACAATAAATTATATTACAATAGTACATTATTAATGAACATAAAAATGACAGAATAATCACAAAACAAATTCTATTAACATAGTTGAATAAAATTTAATTTTTACTATAAAAACGTTAAAAAGTTAAATGGCAAATTACCACATTGTAACAATAAGTTATTTTTTATGTTATTAAAAAATCATAACAACACATATTAATTATAACAATAACAAACGGCAAATACCAACAAAAACCATTAAAAAAAACAAGGCATGTTACTCATTACATCTGACATGTAAAAACGAAGATTGTCTGTCTATATTTACCATCCACACCTTTTCAGCCTATCCACAGTAAACTATGCCATTGTATTTTATGACAAATTATATGTTATTTTATAAATTTTTCAATTTCAATAATTTTATTGATTAAATATAGTTTATACAATTAGTTAAATAAACTAAAGTTAATTAATTAAAAACTCTAGTCTTAAAATTTTTAACAAAATTGTTTTTTTTGCGGCAAATTCGTTTAATTGGTAAAAGTAAAAGATGACTTTGACTAAAAATAAAATTTGTTTTTTTCTGTTTTAACTTTCAAAAAATCGGGTTTTTATGAATTCGGTCCAAAAAAAGTATTTTTTTCTAAACTCTTAGGCAAATTTTATATCAATTACAACAAAAATGTGTAAGATTTTCAAAGCCATCCACATAAAAGTGGTCTATCACGTTAACACTCTTTACTGTAAAAATATCCAGAGTATCAACGGTTTACTATTAATTTACTTGTTAAAAAATCTATTTTAATTATTGAAACTGATTTATAAAAACGATGTTACATACTCATGACAACCACATTTTTTGCATATTTATATGTACAGACACATGAAAAATCAACAAAGAAACTAAAAAATGGTTTCTGGAAAACATTTTATATTTTTTCAATAAAAATTAAAAAAAATGATAAAAAACAAAAAACAATAATTTACTATAAATTTATTATTTGTTGGTTATTTTTGGTGTCTGTATTAATTTTAAAAACATTGTTGAAATTATAATGATTCAAAAAATAAAAGATTTTTAGTTGAACATATTATTTTTATACCAATAAAATAATTCAGTGTTTTTGCTTCTCATCTAAATTATTAAAACATTTATAAAAATCAGATAATTTATGAGTGATTCGTTTATTATCAAGTTCTTGTTTTTATGCTGTTTATTTACCTTTTCTTGTTCGATGTATTGTGGAGGGGGGCAGTATGAATACGGTGGTTCTTGTCGTGTATGTCCTGTTGGGACCTATTCACACGGTGGTAATGATATTACTTTGTGTACTCCGTGTAATTGGGGTGAGGCTGCAGTTGTAGGATCGTACAACTGTGTTCCATGTAAACCAGGATATTACGCAAATTCATCTGTTTCGAGTTGCCCCATTTGTCCAGCAGGTACATACTCGTCATCTGGAGCATCTTCATGTACCAAATGTCCAGCTGGTTATTATTCATCGAGTGGTTCAACGTCATGTTCAATATGTTCAGTTGGTAAATATTCTTCTAGTGGTTCATCTTCATGCACTTCGTGTTCTGTTGGTACATATTCATCAACTTCCGGATCTTCTTCCTGTACATCATGCCCCGCTGGAAAATATTCATCCAATTATGGTTCAACTTCATGTTCAACGTGTTCTACTGGTACTTATTCTTCATCGACTGGTTCTACAACATGTTCTACGTGCTTAGCTGGTACATACTCGTCATCTGGAGCATCTTCATGTACCAAATGTCCAGCTGGTTATTACTCATCAACTTCTGGATCTTTTACTTGTACTTCATGCCCAGCAGGCAAATTTTCATCATCTAGCGGTTCTCCATCATGTTCAACATGTCCAGCTGGCAAATATTCATCTTCTGGTTCATCTGCTTGCACTCTGTGTCCAAGTGGTCAATATTCGGCTTCATCTGGATCTTCTATATGTACAAAGTGCCCAGCTGGTACATACTCATCAACTGGTTCATCTACTTGTTCTTCATGTAAAGATGGAGAGTACAGTTTAAGTGGTTCATCTGCGTGTAAAATATGCAATTCTACGTGTGCCACGTGTGATATAACCAATGGAAATTGTAAAACGTGTAAACCTGGATATGCATATTATCCGAGTACTGGATGTACAATATGTCAAGCTTCTTATTATTCAATAGGTGGAACATCCTCATGTTCAAAATGTCCAAGTAATACTTATTCATTAGAAAAATCTTCGGAGTGTTTATCTTGCAGTGATAAATGTGCAACGTGTAATCAAATGAATGGAAATTGTATAACATGTGTAAATGGATATGGTCTCGAAGCCGAAGTTTGTAAATTATGCCCAGCTGGTACTTTTGCAAATTTGAGTTCATGTGTTACATGTGGAGATATGACATATTCTTTAGGTGCACAAACATACTGTGATAACTGTGACACTATATGTAAAACATGTGACAAAACAAATGGACATTGCACCTCTTGTTATAGTGGGAAGGGTATTTCAGGAAATAGTTGTGTTGTATGTCAAGCTGGTTATTACAGCTTTAATAATCAGTGTGAAAAATGTCCTTTGGGTACTTTTACAGATAGTAATGGAAAAGACAACTGTGAAACTTGTGGAGATTACAACTTTGCCAACGTAACTGGATCAACAACTTGTTTACCATGTGATACATTATGTGCAGTCCGATGTGAAAAGACGAGTGGAAATTGTACAACATGTGTTAGTGGGTATGTAGCAACTGAAGGAGTTTGCAAAATGTGTTTAGGTGGTACAAAGTCCAATTCTATAACCAACTTGTGTGATACATGTCCAGCAGGTACTTATTCAAATGATAAATCATCAACTTGTACAAATTGTAAAAACTTGGAATTTTCACTTAAAGGTTCTTCGTCTTGTCAAACCTGCAATTCAGTATGTCGTGAATGTAATTCCACAAACGGAAATTGTACTGCTTGTTTTGATGGATATGGTATTTCCAACAGTTTTAGTTGTGAAATGTGCCAAGAAAGTACTTATTCATTTGACTCAAAATGTACAAACTGTGAAGAAATGAATTACCAAGACGAAAAAGGCAAAACTACTTGTAAAAAGTGTGATTCTTCATGTTCAACATGTGATAAGACAAATGGCAAATGCACTAATTGTAAAGCTGGATATGGTTTTAATAAAACAGAAGGTAGTTGCACTACATGTACACCAAAAACATATTCGACTGGTAACACTTCCGAATGTGTGAGTTGTCAAAGTGAGTGTACCAATTGTTTTAAAGAAACTGGGATGTGTTCTTCTTGTGAAGATGGCTTCAAAACAAAAGAAAACAAGTGTGTAAGTTGTTCATTAAATGGAAATTGTACATCTTGCAATACAACTGGAGACGAACAAAATTGGGTGTGTAACAAATGTGAAAATGGACTTTATCTAAATAACAACAATTGTATTCTTTGTGAAGAAATTGCACATTGTGCGTCGTGTTCACAAACTCAAAAAAAGTGTTTATATTGTCATGAAGATTATGTAACAGATGGAAACAAATGTTTTAAATGTGAAGAAGGAAAGGTGAAGAATGGGGATAAAACGTGTATTGATATATTTTATTTAATTCCAAATTGTAAAAATGGGTATTATGATAATGCTACTTTAAAATGCACCGAATGTTTCGAACCATTTGAACTTACAAGTGACTCATTATCATGTTTTGCAAACAAAGATTACCAAAAGTTTTATTATGATAAGCAAACCAACACATTCAAAGAAAATGATGTTAATTGCACAAATCAAATTTACTCGACATGTTACTCATGTCATGATTCAATTTTATTAAATGGAAAATGTGAACAATTGAATGAAAATTGTAAGAACGGTGCAATTAAAGGGTGTGATTTGTGCACAAATTTTGTTTTAACATCATCAAACAATTGTACCAAAAATGAAAAGTGCAAATATCAACTCAATAAAAATGATACAATGGAATGCCTTCAATGTGTCAATGACACTGTTTGTGGTCTCAAAGAAGAAGAGTGTTCAATTTCGCAAAATTCGTATTGTTATACAACAAAAGAAGGTTCATATACAAATAAAAATGACATTATACCATGTGAGAGTGGAAAGGTTTGTGCGTTAATTGATGGAAAAGAGTTGGATTTTGAATGTGAAAACGAAACAATACTAACACAAAACAACATCTGTACAAAAGATCCTAATTGTTTAATATCAAAAGGTAATTACTGTGTCAAGTGTGTTGATGATTATCATATTTATAATGGTTGGTGTGAATTAAATAATAACGACTGTGACACTCAAAATAGAGATTTTTGTGTTTGGTGCAAAAGTCATATTGGGAATAATAATGAATGTTATAATCAAACTGTAATAAATTGCCCATCCTTTAATAATACTTGTGTAAAATGTGAAGAAAATAATTACAAAACAGAAATAAAATGTAATGTGATTCAAGATGATTTTCCTAATTGTAAAAATGTATATAACAAAAAGTGTGTTGAATGTCAAGAAAATTTCATACTTGAAAGTGAAAATTGTTTACACAACAATGAAACAAACACTTCATCAGAAACAAATGAAACAACAAAAACAACTTTAAAAAATGAAAACGGTTCAAATTGCATTGAAAAGACAACGAAAGGATGTATTCGTTGCTCTGATACATATTATCTTAAGGACTACAAGTGTATTAAATGTGAATATCCATGCGTTAATTGTAAGAATTTAACATATTGTACTGGATGTGATGCATATTCATACACAAACAACAAAGGCGATTGTATTGAAATTAACGATTTACTCTCAAAGTGTGATTTGGTGATGGCAACATACAGTGGGTGTGTTGTTTGCAAAGATGGATTTATGCGGTCTACTGATGGTCGAACCTGTGAAAAATGTGACATTTCTTGTAAAACATGTACGAATGATGGAACGTGCATTTCATGTAATGATAATTATTACAGAACAGCAACTAATAACACCAAATATTGTACAATTCAAAGTGAGTTGAACAACTGTTTAAATAAGACAATAAGTGGGTGTTATGAATGTGAAAATGGATTTTATATATCAAACAACCTTTGTAAACCATGCAACGAGAAATGTACAACTTGCACATCACAAGATTATTGTACAAATTGTACTGAAAATAATGTATTACTAAATGATATATGCACATCGTTTACAGAAATACCAAAATGTATTTCTGCATCAAACAACAAATGCTCAGCCTGTTCGAAGAGTTATAAATTAGATGAAGTAACAAATAATTGTTTTAGCAACACAAATTATGGACTTGTAATAGTTCTTCCAGTGGTCATAGTGTTTTTGTCTATTCTTGGTATTGTAATGGTTGTAATAATAATATTGGTGATACTTAGAAAGCACCAAGAAGTCTCAAAAATGCGTAACATTTGTGTTTTTCCAATGAAAAAGTCCAATATTAATATGTTTACATTAGAAGGTTCTGTTGTATCAAACAAAAGTTGTTTAACATTTTCAGAAGATTGTGAATTACTCCCAGTTGACAAGGAGAGTCGAGAACTCATTTGCATTGGCAACAAAAGTACAGGAAGATTAAAAGTCCAACTTACAACACGATTTGGGTGTGATAAATATTCGATACGAACTGAACCACAATTGATCACTTTAAAAAAAGGAGAAGCATGTGAGTTTGAAGTATTTGTAACCCCACATTGTACCATGAAATTGACAGACGAAATAAAGATAGTCACACTAGATTTAGATAAAGGAGAAACGAAAACAGTGTCTTTAAAGATCACATTAACGACTGAAAATTCGACTAAATTGGATTATGATGAGTTGATAACAGAAAAGAAATTGGGCGAAGGTTCTTTTGGCATAGTGTACAAAGGCTCGTTTAGAGGCAATGTCGTCGCAATTAAAAAGATGAAAAGTTTAGAAGGTAGTGATGCTAAAAATCAGATGATACAATTTGAGAACGAAGTATCGATGTTGGACAAGTTTAGGAATGACTATATTGTCCACTTTTATGGTGCTGTTTTCGTACCAAATAAGATATGTATGGTCACCGAATTTGCACAATATGGAAGTTTACAGGATTTGATCAATCAAACTAAAATCAATGAAATACCTCAAATCGTTGTTCGAGTTAAATTCATGATAGACCTCGCAAATGGAATATTATATCTACACACAAATGGGATATTACACAGAGACATCAAGCCGGACAACGTGTTGGTATTTTCTTTGAATGTCGACGAAAAAGTGAATGGAAAATTAACAGATTTTGGATCATCAAGAAACATCAATTTGATGATGACCAACATGACATTCACAAAGGGTATTGGCACACCAGTGTATATGGCACCGGAAGTGTTAAACAAAGAAAAATATACAAAAGGAGCGGATATCTTCTCATTTGGAGTCACTATGTATGAAACGTTTGGGTGGTGCGAAGCATATGATAAAACAGAGTTCAAATTTCCATGGAAAATAGCAGAGTTTGTTATTAATAGAAACCGATTGCCAAAGAAAGAAATGATGAGCGACAAACAGTACGAATTGATTGATAAATGTTGGAAACATGAAAATAAAGAAAGACCAACAATTAGTAAAGTCTTAGATGCATTAAAAGTAATTTAATAACCAAATAAAAAATATTTTATTTCTGTATTATATAATATGCATTTTAATAATTATAAAAATTTTTGTATAATAATAATTAGATATATCTTTGATGTTTGATTTTTCTTTATTATAATAATAATATGATAAAATATAATGATATTCATTTAAGTTAAATAAATATTATTAAAAAACAATTAAAATGTAATGATAAATGTTAAGTGATTGATGAAACAGTAATTTATAACACTCTTAATCATGTTTTAACAATTTAAATTAATGTAAAATTAAAATGAACAAAAAAATAGATTAAAAAACAACAAAATTCAAAATTACTTTTTAATTTTAAGATTTTTTATGTTCTTTTTTGTTCCATTTATTTTGCTGATTTTTTCGGCTTTGACATTTTCGAAAAATGAATTTTTAAATGTGAATGATTTTGCACTTTTCATGACCAGATTTTCGATTTTACACCCCACCAAATTGATTTTGCCGACCACTCCCAACTCCACGGTATCGATATTTCCTCCCATCAAATCAACTTTTTTGATGTTTCCAAATTTCACTTTGTTTGTAAATATATGTTGTGCTGGATTTAAAAACAATTGCATTTGATCAATTTTTTCGTTTGAAAGGTCGAACCCATTTGTAATATTGTCAACTCTAAAACTGTTGATTGTTTCTGTATTTGTGTACCAACATCTCGTACATGTAATTTTATCGACTATCTTCCCATCGTTTTCTATTAAAATATCACATGCATGGAACCCGTTTGCAACAGAAAAAACGGTGTATTTTGACAAATTTGCAACGAACTTTCCTTTATATTTCACGCCATTGTGTTTGAACAGAACTTTTCCAATTGAATTGTCGCACTTAAAATTTGTCAATTTTTCGTCTGAAATTTCAAGACTTTTTCCATTGAAATTTCTTAAAGTAATACTTTCCGCTCGACAGTTTTTCATATTAATTTTGCCAGTACAATCGAGAATTGAAATTTTCTTTAAAAGACGTGGTAACACCACTTCTTTTGCGTTGATATTAAACAGAGTGACCGCCTCAATGAAATCGAAATTGATTTGATTTTGGAAGTTAAAAGTTGCTTGGAGTTTTTCTCTTTGATTTGGTTGGATGTATGCGTTTAATGTCACGTCCCACTTTGGTAGAGTTTTTGGATCCATAATATCCAAAGTAGTTAAAATGCCCATTTCCATTGTTTCATAAATTAAATCTTCCTTTCCACTGACATCTGAGGTCACTGTAATCGACTTATTTTCATCATTTTGGTTAACAGGATAACTGTTAAGAATGCATGAAAGTGCTGGCAGAAACTCGAGAGAATTTGTTTCTTTAGATATAAAGTTGGTAAACACTTTGACGTTATTAGGCATCTTATTGAGTGCGTCAACTTCAAGGACTTCATAAGTGTAACTTGAAAACAACACAACAAGTGTAAATTCCACTTCTTTTCGTTCAGAGAAGTTAAATTCATTTATAAATTGAAGAGTCATTGTAGTAAATATTAAATACACCTTTTTTAATGTTTTGATTTGCAACACTTCAAACAGCAAATGTTCTTCCTTTGTAGTCATCGTGTAGTCTATAAATAAAAATTGAAGTTGTTCGAAATTGTCTTTGTTCTTCGCTACAGTATCAATTTCATTCCACAAAATGCGCAACTTACGAACTTTGGGAGGAAACCATTTTGTTTTTAAGGTCTGAGAAAATTTGGATGAAAGTTGTTTTGCATTCACTTCGATGAGAGGAATGTCGTTACTCGACACCTTTCTCAGACGCGTTGAAACAGCACAGAAATATAAAGTCTCTAATTTTGGAAAAAAGAAAAGAATGTCATCAATAGATGAGTGGAGAGACAGATTGTATGTATTGATGAACATGGTTTGGATTACAGAATAACACGATTTGTTTATTAAAATAAAGTTAGTTATATCTTCCAAAGTTTCGAGGTACAACACAACATTTTTAAGAAATATGTTCTCAAGGTGAGTCATTAATTTATTATAATTTCAGTTTAAATTTGAATTTTAATTTTTAAAAACCAAATTTTTTGATTAAAATATTGTGGTTTTTTAAATGTGTGATGTTTTTTAATGAGTATTTACTCTAAAAATAAAGTATTTATAAATGTAAAGACTTTTTTTATATAAAGTATGGAGAATAATTTTTTGTGGGAACTAATTTGTCTACACTTAAAAATGGTAAAATTTATTAAATTTTATTATACTCAAATATATATCAGATTAATCGAATTTTGTTTTTTAATTTCAAATAATTTTTGTAAAACATTAACTTCGACTGTGGTCTATGAAATTGACTTTGTTTTTTATAGTTACACGTTATTTATCAAATAAAACAAAACGTTACAGTGTGGTGGATTAAAAATAAATAAAAACATCACACTCAAAAACACGATGAAAATATTACCAGTCATTGATTTGATTGATTATACAATTGACAATTTTTTTGAAGAATCAATATATGGCAATAAAAAACAATAGTGAACAATAATGAAATAATAAAAAAGAAGTTAAAAACATATTAAAAATGTACAAAGACTGTACATTTTAATATGTTTCCCATGACCACCTTGACCAATAATATTTGACAATGTTGATTTTTAAAGGAAGTCCACTTTTCAAACACTGTTTGTGCGTCCCAATATCGCCACTTTCCTTGTCCGTATTGTGAGAATATAGTTTCCCTGTCTATGGGGAGTCTGTAAAATCGGCGCCAAGGGAGGACGTGGAAAGTGTATGAAATTGGTGCACAAACCAATTGTTTGAGTGCGACGTCATGAGCCTTTATTTCAATGCTCCGTCTCACTTGGTTTCCACTGACTCAAAAGTGACTATACTTCATTATTTGAAATTGGGACCAAATATTTACTTTATTTTTTTAATTTTAATTTGCATATAATTTTAAATAAAAATAATGACAATTCATAAAGGTAATAATGTAAAAAGTCATCCCCATTTAAAATGGTTTATAAACACTTGTGTGTATTGCCATTAAAAATCTTAACAAAACAAACAGTTGATGCACTTATTACCAACAACATACCGACGTTGTTGGTAAAACGTATTTCATAAATTAATTTTTAAGTTTTAGATAAAAAGTTTTTTAGTTTCGGTTTTTTGGTTTATAATTAGAAAAGTAGACAAATTACGAAATTAAAAATGGTACTAAATAAAACATTGGGGAAATCGTGACTTAAAAATGGGTAATTTGGATGCTAATAGGTTCAACAAGACTAATTAGTTTCTGTAGACAAATTAGTTGCCTATCTGTATTCAAAAAAAACAACAAACAATTACCCTATAAGTTTTTTATATGTTAATATTAAAAAATGTTTATTGTTAATTATAAACCATGAACACACAGAGAATTTTTATCATATTTCACCATTTAACAATATTGAAAAAACCATTTGTAAATATTTTTTAGTAAATTAGTATTATTCATTAACCCTTCGAATTTTCATGAACAACAGGGTCGGCCAAGATCCAGTTTTTAAACAACTTCGTGGCAATCTTTAATACATGACAGTTCATTTTTAGTTTTAGCATATTGTCAACAAAATAATTTAGAAAGTTTTTTTTTAAAAAAATAAATAAAAAAAATATTTGATTAATTTACCAATATATTGCATATTTTTATAGTTTTATATTTTAAATAAAAACTAATACATTTTAAAATTTAACATTAAAATGTTTTTACTTATAAAACGGGATATTTTGGACTAGAATGGAACAATTCCTGTTTTTTGAAAGATCATTTGTGTATAAATGACGATTTTTATTGAATAAATTTTCATTTCGCTTCTTTGCACTTTCCCCCTTTCTCCATAAAAAAGCCATCGAAATTAACAGAAAATATGCTTTTCTTTCGAAATAAACACATAATTGGTCCGTTTTAATGTTTTCCTTCGTACTTATTTTTATGGAAACTTAGTTACCTTTTTATCTGAACTGTCATTTAAATCTGGTTTTTTATTTTTAAAAAGCCCAAAAAACCTAAAACAATGTCTATAGTTGTCTTCGGAAGAGAAAACAACTGTTAAAGATTAAAATGGCTTATCCTTGGATGTTTGAGAATTTTTTGGTGAATTAATTTAATGTGATTTAATGTGACTTTGTTTGGTCTTCCTTTTTTAATAACTAAAAGTTGGTAATTTGTTTTTTTGTCGACTTTATCAGACAACTTAATGACATCAATCAAAGACATTTTAAAAAAGGTTGTCACTTTTCTATTATAAATGCCTTTTTTGTAAGCTTTGCACATTGATATATTTAAAAATTTGTTTTTTAAAAACAGTTGGAATTCGATTCATTTAATAGATAGAATTATATTTTTTGTTTTATCAAAATAATTTGCCAAATAATGTTTTATATTACCAAATTTTTTATACACTTTCGGGGTGGTTCAATTTCACTTAAAAATAATTATCGTTGAATAAAAAATATTTGGGGGTGGGTAAAAAACAAAGTAAAAAAAATCTTTTTTTTCAAAAAAACAATAATTACCAAAATTATCGAAAAATGACATTGAAAATAAAAATGCTATTATTACAGATTTTTTTAGTTTATATTAAATAAATTAAAACGACAATTTCTTTTTGGTTATTAAATTTAATAAAAACGTTTTTTGAATAGTATTATTTATTTTCAAAAATTATAAAAAATAGGTATAATATTATAAATAACATTAAACAAATTTAAGTGTAAATAACACAAAAATAATACTTGCCAAATTCACTTAGTAAAGTAAGGCAAAGAAAGTCAACGCCAATAAGACGAATGTGAGAGCAGATGAATCTGGAACGACTGGAACTTGTGATTCATAGCAAGCAGTATAAACGTCGGTAGCGCACTTGTTGCACTCAATTTTGGTTGTAGCAGAAGTCTGATCGGTGCATTCAGCATCTTTATAATCAGCGAGAACCCACTTCTTAACACCGGCGTCTTCGAGAATAACAGCCTTTTGTATGCAGTACCGACTTTATAGCAGACATCATTGTTGTAAACACCAGTCATCTTTTTGTCTTTATTTGGGCAGCCACTCTTGGTCTCAGCAGTAAAGGCGACTTCTTTTGTGTATTTGGCATCAACGGTTTTCATCCAGGTAGCAGTTGTGGCAGTAAAGTCAATAGTTTCTACATCAGTGGTGCCAGCAGTTTTACAATCAGCGTCATTGAAATAGCTTCGAGTGTAAACATTGGAAGCTACAGTTATTTTGAAGTACTCGGCATTCTTAGTCATGTAACATGTATCAACATCATATCTCTCATATGTAATGACATCGCTCGATTCTTTCTTTACGTTGTAATAAAGAGTTTCACTCAAAGCAGCTACAAAGAAGATGAAGAACATTGAATGATTTAATGAATCTTAAAAATCACTTATATAGTAATACATCGCTAAATTAATTTTTATTCAAAATTGTAACATTAATTGTTTTACAATTTGAGACGGTTTTAAAAAAACTACACAAAATAATGGCCAATAATAATGTTAATTATTTTTGAATAAATGGAGTATATGTGTTTCTTTATTGTTGTTTGTTTATATGAAATTATATATTAATAATTATGTGTTTTTAACTGAGTTTATTAATAAAAAAATATAAATAACCAGTAATTAATAATTATTTTTATAATTATACGATATTTGTCAGTTTATTATAAAATATAGACCAAATGATAGTTAAATTTGTCATTTGATTTTTTGACCAATCAACTTTTCAAACTCTTAATAATATTCGTTTAATACTGTTAGAATTTTAATTAAAATCAAAATATGAAAAGGTTTGAATATTTTTCAAATAATTCCATTTCAATTTTGTAAATTATAGACAAATTTACTAATATGAATTTTAAATAACAATTAAATTTTTAATAATTTGTAATGAACAGCAAATATAGTTAACTATTAATAAAATATGATATTTTTATTTTTAAAAAAAGCAAATCGAAACGGGTAGTTTATAAGATTGAATAAATAAAGATCTTTCGTTTTTACACAAAAAAATAAATTAAGTTGATTGCTAAATTCAAATTGAATTTCAAATGTTTATGTAAATTTGTAAACAATAATTATTTAACAATTTAAATTATACAATAAATATTATTTGGTTTGAAATGATTTAATGTAATTATAATGTTGTTATGATCATATATTTGAAAAAATAAGTAGGGATGAAGTAAAATCCATTTTACCTGTTTACCAAAAAAGAGAAAAAAATTGGTAAAATATTTATCCAATTTACGATCTTAAAGATCCCTATATTTTAAAAAACGTTTTAATTAAAAATGAAAAGGTATAACATTTTGCATTTTCATCAATTTTAATTTAATTATAAAGTTTTTCGATTTCTGCCAACATTTAATCATTATTGCAATTGATGTTAAAAAAATGAATAAAAAAACAAAAAAGAACAAAAAAATCCAACAATAACCAATATCATTAAATTATTTTTTTTGAAAAAAAAACAATTCAAATGTTACTTTTGTTGTTTTTTAATAAATATAAACATGTTTAATGAAAAAATATTTGTATTTCATCGTAAGTTGATACGTTAATATAAGTGAAAACAACATAAAAATAACAAAATTTTATTTTAGATTCGACAAACAAATTTATATTATTATATGACGCACATTACTAAAACGATTGGCACTTTTTGTTTAAAATCATTGATTATCATTTACTACCGTATATCGTTTTAAAATTAACGACTATTCTTATCAATCGTTGAAATGAAAAGAATCATAGATTATATGTAAGTGCTATTTAATTACTGTTTTTGTACTTATTTCAAATAAACATTATTTCCAAATAATAAAAGAAATATTGTCTTGTAAAAATATGCGTTTTATGTCATAAATTTTCAAAAAATATTTCAAAACAATGTTACTTGACATAATAAGTCACAAATTAAAGTTGTTATTATTTAAATAATATGTCTGATAGATAAAATCGTAATAATATAATCATAATTATCATATTTTAATTATCAAAAATATAACAATTTAAATTTAAAAATAATTTATTACATTTGTTTTGTTTTGTTTTGAAATATAATGTCTCAAATTTTAATAAGTATATTGAAGAGCATTTTTCAAAACAAAATAAACAGATGGTTACAAATAATGTTAGAGTTAATTAATCCAAAACACGGTTAGATGTTGTACAAATGATATTTCGATATTTGTTGCCATTAAAAATAATTTGAATTAATTATGAGCATTTCTCAATTTATTTTATATTAGACCAAAGGCTAAGTGATATGAATTATTTCTTTAATAATAAACTATAAACTAATAATTAAAAATAATAATATATAACATTATTTTATGTAAAATAGTAAGTCATACTGTTTGTGATCAAAACACAGCTAATAAAACGCCGAAAAATCAAATAAAATCAATTGAAAATCAATTTATCTAAAAATAAATAAATACGTATTGGTTCTAAAATATATAAAATAAACACATATTTTAAACATCCACGTATTGTTTATTTTTTCGATTTTATAGATAATTTAAAGAAAACATAAATACTTTTTATTCACAATTAAATACAATGTCGTTACCATCATCTCGACGTTCTCCGAGAAATAGTCAGAGTAGAATTGTAGAAACCGAAATCGAACGATTAAATCAGAAAACACAAGAAGCTATCCAACAACCCATTCAACAGCATTCTGAACATCAAAGATTTTTCTTTGAGTACATGGTAGATACACATGGAGGGTTTGACTCGTTGTTCAGATTTTTGGGTTTGAATCCTTTAGTATTTCTCGCTATCAGACCAGTCGTTAGTGATATCTATACTGCAAGAAGAGGTAGGAAAAGTTTTTTCTACAATCCAAATGACAGATTGTTGTTGCTTTATCTATTTTTTGTTACAACAAAATTGTACTAATTAGAAATCTTTGCATTCATTAAGTAAAAACAAACGAACAAATTGTTAGGGAAGTGAATGAAAGTGCTAAGCTGTTTAAAGTTGTCATGAAAGATTCGTTTATTATATTTAATAATGAAAATTTACAAGGAACAAATGTGAGTGATATTGTTGATTGTACAATAACACCAATTAACGCTCCAAGTGGAAGTTTTTCTTCTAAGATGTCGTTCTACAGTAATAAGAACAAGACGTATTGTATTAAAATTGAAGTTGTTGTTAACTCTGTTACTGGGACTGCATGTTTTGTTTCAGAAAGAGAACCAGGTGCTTCTCATGACATGAGATTGTTAAAAAAACTTCTGATGATATTAACACCATGCTCAATGGTACTAAACTCATTGGCGACAAAGGTTATAAAGGAATTCAGTCGCTTATCCCCAATGGTTTTGTTCCAACAGAGTCTCCACTTTTTGAAAACAGATGTCTGGTTGAACGTTACTTTGGACGTCTCAAAACTGTTTATGCATTTGCCAGAGAGAAATACAACAAAGATACTGTAATATACGATGATCTAATAACTTTATGTTGTTGTTTCTGTAACGTGGATATTGGAATCAACCCGCTTATCAATGTAGATCAGACAAATTATATAAATATTTTAGCAAATTTTGTGAATAAAATTGATGAAAGAAGAAAAAAGCACAGAGACAGCAACAGAGTAACGAAGAAGACAACAAGCTCAAATATTAGCATTAGAAGAAGCAGAAAATCGGTCTCATTTATTTGAAGATGATCGTTATGATGGAGAAACAATATATACATCAGGTCAACTTGATGGCGATGAGACCGGGACGGAACCTTAACAATAAATGAACTGTTTTTGTTATTATAATTCGAATAATTTACTTAAAATAACGGGAATATTAAATGATCATGGGGTTATCATATTAAATTAAATAGATGTCTAATTAATTGTTACAAAGTGAATAAGATCTAATCGTCTTAAGAAAAAACAAAACACAAACAAAATAAAAAGATTAAACTTAAAATAACAAAACAATTGAATATAAACTAAATAAAATTTATGTTTTTTGGAAATGAACTAATAGAATACTACTTATATTCGGGATATAACATTAACTTCTAATCATTATTTATTCATTTTATTTAAATCTAGTCGATATGTTTGTTGCATTTAATATAAGGTTTTGATATTTAAGATATCTATTACTACATAAATAATGTTGAACATATAATATTAGCCTTTGGTCTATTATATTTTTTAATATAAACTGTATGCCAAAAGTCGGTACTTTACCAATTATTCGTGGAAACCCTTTTATAATAAATTCCCGTTTTTTAAAGTTTTTTTGTTGTTTTCATTTATAATTTCCATTTGAAAAAAAGAAAAAACAGTACCGACTTTTTAACCCTCAAAACCAATACAGTTATAAATTTCAATTAAAATTTCGGGATTTTAACAAAAAATTAGAACAAACTTGTCCGATTTTCTGAGACTGTTATTCAGTCTTTTTCACTGTTGAGATTCTCAAAAAATCGGCATTTTTGCCTTTTGGTAATGGACGAGTAGTTTGAATGGGTGAGATAACCGTATTTTACCTCTCACATTACGACTCTCCCCCACTTCAAAATACACAATAAATCGTTCTAACTTGTTGTTATTTTATGGTTGTCTCTTTAAAAAAACAAACTTTGAAACACTACACATATTAAATGGTTATTTTTATTTTCAATAATCTTTTCTTTGTGTTGTAAGTGTTAATGAAATTGAAAGATTTTTATTATTTGTTGGATCATTAACATTTTCTTTTGAAAAGAGAAAAAGTCGGTTTTACTCACGGCAAAAACAACCATATGGTCAAGCAAAATTTTTGAAGAAGTAAGTTATTTGATATTTTCCTTGTTATTTTTTATTTAATTTTTTAGCTTGGTCTAAATTCAAGGTTCAGTCAAGTTTGTTTTTTAAAAAATAAGAGGGAAAAAAATAAGCAAAAAAACGATGTCAAACAAAATGAAAAATATTTGGAATCATTTACTTCAAAAAGTCGGGTCCTTTCGGTACCGACTTTTGAAAAACAGTTTATTTTAGATTTTTAAATAATATGTTTTTGATTTGTACCTTTTTTATTAAATATGGTGTTGTTATCGTTTAAGTATTTATTAAAACATGTTTTGTGTAAATTGTTTTTTATATATGATAAGTAATAAATATTTACAATAAGTTGAATATTGCCGTTTATTGCAATGATTGTAAAAAAATCATTATTGAATTTTTAATTTTTTTTTCAAAATGCATAAATTGTTTTAACCAAAAACATTAAAATGATATATATTAAATTATTTTTTATAAACAAAACCAAAATTCTAGAACTTGAATAGTTCTATTTGGTGAAACGATTTCACCAAATAATTTACTAAAACATAAATTTTCAGTAAAATTATTTCACCATTTTACTTCATCCCTAAAAATAAGTAAGACGTAAAATTTGTTTATAATTTTTATTTTTTGTGTTTTATTATATATTAATTTTTAATTAACCTGCCATCAGCATTTTTTTTCTTAAGCAAAATGCACTAGAGGCAAAAAATTGTGTTTTTTCTATAAATATAAAAATGAGAAAAATTCTAAAAATAAATTACATATAAATTTGCTGTTATATGGAAAGGCATCTTTCAGCAGTTTTCACATAGTCGACACTACAGCAAGAGATCAGGCCACGAGTTTTTACGACTATTATAATGCGATTTTAACTTTAGGTCTGAAATATGATCGAACCTTTTTTCAGACACTAGTAATGAGTAGAATAATCTTTATTATGACTGTGACAACATCAGAGCAGCAAGACAAACTTATTATTATATTTTTCGTTGATTTGTGCGGCAGAATGGGTTTGCAATAGAATTGTTAGTTTATAAATTAAAAAACACAAAAAAATCTAAAAATATTTTTTACACATTTTATCTAAACAAAAACAGGGACCAAAATTTTCAATTTTATTTTTTTATACGCGTTTTTGAGTCTCGTGCTTTTTAATCGATTAAAGTTTGTTTTTGCAAGTTTATTATTAAAAATAAAATAACACAAAACTTGTTTGCAAAAATTGTAGTAAATTACTGTTTGTGTGTTACCTAGTTACACGATTTGTTCTGGGTAAAAGTGTGGGTACAAAATTATTTTTGTTAAAAAAGGCAGTGAAGGTATATATTTTTTTGGTTGATTAAATAAAAAAGTTCTCTTATTTCAAGAAACAAAAAAATAAAAATTGATTTCCTTTACCAAAAAAATGTTGATGTAAAGTCATTCTTAAAACCATGCAACTTTGACGTGTCAGTGCACCTTTGTTTAAAGTATAAATATAATAAAACAGTTATATGTTTTTTAAAAACAAAACAAGAAAACACAATGAATTTTCTTTAAAACTAATACTCAAATTAAAATACCATAACTAAACTATAACTAAACTATTTCTAAAGTTGCACAATTTTTTTCGATTGGTTTTTTTGGTTGCACCATTCAACTATCTCTTGTTTACCTAAATTTTAAAGCATAAGAGTCTTTGAAATACACAAGGTGGCTTGTCTCATTATTTTTGTTTTATAAACGAAATGTTCAACATACGCACAATTTACAATCAATTTACACCACTATTCAATTGGTTCTGAATAACAATTAAAATTCTTTGTTTTTAATGCTTTTTATTAAAACAAACAGTTGAATTTATCATTTAATTATCGAGTTATAATCTATGTTGATTTATAACATAATTTAACTTTTTGTTATTGTTATTGTTAAAAAAGTTATTCCTTTGTTGTGAGAAAAAAAAACGAAGAAAAAATAAAGATG